AGCGCTTAGGCTGTTTAGTTTACCCTGAAATTACCCAAAAAAGTGAACGGTCCCTTTAAATGTGAGTTTAACTCATTTGAACAGAATTGAATTTGTTACAATTCAAAAACTGTCTGCCTAAGTAATTCGCGTAATGAAACAACCCAATAATCATAGTGAGTGACATATTTAATTCGTTTTAACGTTTTCTTTCACTGTAAACTTTTTTGTAAATCAATATCCTTGACAAAGATATTTAAGGAACGTTTTCTCAAATGGTTCAAGAATTAAAAAAACATTTCCACAATTTGTTATTCATTTCGTAATAACTCTAATGTACCTCAAGCAGGAGTTTGAGGCATTGAACAGCACCTGCCTGAGCAGCAACATGAACAGGAGACCTACCAACACTATCACGTAAACTCCTGTTCAAATCCTTTCTCCTAAACAGGAATCACATCTATATTCGGAGACGCTATTTCCTTTTTGTAAATTAAATCAAACCAATACAAACAAATAATGGACATACTATTTTATAATGAAATCCCATAAAGGAATTGTATGCCAACAACGATTAAAAAAGTGCCCTCAAGATAGAAAAACAATGACTTAAAAAAAGGTTTTTTGACAAAAACAAAAATAACTTGATCAATGATAGTGGTTTGAAAAGTAAAGTATATATAGGCCAAAGGGGACTATTTTAAACCACGTTTAGTCAAATAAGAGCATAAAAAATTAGAAATTAAATTAACTCAAGTCAATTTTATTTATTTCCACTAAAGCTATAATAAAAGGAGTTATACCGTAGAATAAGTTGAGTAGATTCAACAGAATTAGCTCGAACAGCGTCCATCAAAGGTGTGGTGCCACATGAATCCATACTAAAACATTATTTGAGTATTTTGTGTGGTCTAGATTATATTAAAGGTGTGGTACCACATAAATGACGACTGAACATGTATTTGAGTAATTTGTGTGGTCTAGATCATAATAAAGATATGGTACCACATAAATATTTATTAAAAATTGAATTTAAGTCGTAATGTGCTTTGAATTAAGATGTGTAGAACCACAACAATCCACATTAAACATTGAATTTGAGTTGTATAATGTACTTGGAATTATATAATAGGTGTAATACCACATAAATCCATACTACACATTTGAATTTTATTTGTGTGTGATACCGTCTGAGTTCTGACTGAGACATCTACATAATTAAAATTAAGATAGTATGCACTAAGCATTAGAGAAGTTGAGTCAGAGGTCTCATATAAATTGATGAATCTAGGTATCGAGGTACCTGTAACAGTTGCGTCCAACAGAAACAAGGAAATCAACGGATTGATAAGACTCATGAAGTAAAAGAAAATAGTATACAAAATTAATACATGTAGCTTACTAACTTGATCTCCAAGTTCAAGCCTTTTTCTTACCATTTTTAAAATGGTAAAGTAAGATCTCTAAATTCTAGGCTATGACTTTTTCCAAGTCTCGAGTGGGTCACTGCCCAGTTTGCCCCCCCCCCCCCGCCTTCCTGTATACACCCCTGATTTATATGTACCTGTTACAACTGCATCCTACGGAAAGAAGGAAATCAACGGTTTGATAAGACGCATGAAGAGCAGCAGTGTGAAGAGGAGTTCTGCCATTTTTACTAAACATAAGAATAAGTTTATATAATCGTATAAGTTTTTTCAAGGATTAATAACAGTAGTTAAAGGTCTCCTGTTCATTGATTTACCTGACAATACTCCAAGCAGCAAGCTCCTGTTCAAGGATGAATAACAGTAGTTAAAGATCTCCTGTTCTTTGATTTACCTGACAATACTCCAAGCAGCAAGCTCCTGTTCAAGGATGAATCTCATGTTTCTTGATTTACCTAACAATACTCCAAGCAGTTGGCTCCTGTTCAAGGATAAATAACAGTACTTCAAGATCTCCTGTTCGAGCAGCAACATGGAAACTGGTCCAACCATCTGAATAACACCATTCAATTTATTTATCCTAAAGTCTTTCATTGTAAGATCTATTATTTAACCATTAACTAGGGGATTAAATTTTTGATTGAAAACAAAAACTGTGTTTTAAGACAATTTTTCTCAATTGAACAATAGGAGTATAAATTTTAATTTAAAATTTTTAAATCCACTGAAGAAAATAAAAAAATCCGCTAAATTTAACAATAACATTTACATGTCGGAAAAATCGTATTGTTTCAACATCATATCAAGTTATTATTAATTCAACATAATTGGTATCACATGACATTGACAATTAGAGGTTTATTTTTAGCGAGGTCTTACTTCCTTGAATGAATAAAAAATGCTCATTAAATTATAAGTATCCAATGAACGTAATTTGAGTTGAATTTTAATTCATTTTGGCTAGAACCCATTTCATTTTCAATTATTTCACGCTTTTTTAGCTAAAATTCTATGACGGCCTTTCCAGTGAGTAAGTTTAGTATCTAATCCTTTTATCTTTCTGAAAAAATCCTCGAGTTAAAGCCAGTTTGTTATTTTAATTAATGTCGGCTTAAAGGGTCTGTAAGCGTAATCTTAAGTGAACCTACATGCAAAGATGGCATTGACATATTCACAACGGTACCTATAAAAACTTGATCAAGTATGAATTTGAACTCCACGTCTTTGTTTTAGAAAACGGTTAATTTTGATTTGTGGTTTCTCTGCAAAAGTGATCTGAGTATTTCTTGCTTGTAAGGAAGCCAGGAGAATTTATCAGAACCTAACACTTTTTCGAGAGAGGAGAACGACGTTATCTTCCACATTTTTGATGAGATTAATTGTCTCAAGGGTACTGTTCTTAATCGGACATTGCCATCTTTTCATGGAGGGGTTCCATGAAATTAGACGCACAGTCCCTTTAAAATGTACTACTTTAACAAGTGTTTTATTGCACATTATTTCTATCGTCAGTATCTTTCTTATTAACATTATTTTGTGAGAGAAATAAAAACAATCCGAGAAAATAAAGATTATAAATAGAGAAGTAATGCGTAGGAAGAGCTCTAATTCCGTCACCATATACGTTTATTAAATCTAAAAATAATGCCAATGTTTAACATTATTTACACAAAAAAGAACAAATAAGATGCACTAACACTTTATTCGGTGATCAGCATTTTTAAAACTTTTTTTCTTATCATCTTAAAATAATATTGTCATTGTGCATTTTAAACAATTGCTCTGGGTTTTATGATATTTAATAACGCAAAAAAAACATGGAATATAATTATTACAATTTCAAAAGTACTGATATCTTGTAATGTAAACCTTTGATATTAAACTTTTAAAGGCTGTCAGATCAAACAGTCAAAATTGGAAATATCAATGGTTTACACCAACAGGTTGCAAAAATATAGGGATTAGAAAATGAAAGCTTGAGAAGAGTAATGATTTCCTTTTCAGGAAAAATATCAGAATCCTAAACTTTAAATCTTAGCATATTTTTTAAAATAATTTTATTATTATAAAATCTGGTAAAAGGGGAAGGAAAAAATTGCAAATATATTCATTTATAAATAAAATATCTAAATAATCTCTCCCATCTAGAATCAATAGAAAAATTTGAGAAAGCCATTTTTACCAGTATCAAAAATTTATTTTATAGTCTCCTTATTAATTAGCAATGTTTTTTTTTAACATTCCTTTAAACTTTTCTAACCTTTGTTTTGAATATTAAGATTTGCTGCCTGTTTGACCAGAAGCTTGAGTATCCCTAGGCGACCAGGATGCGTGACCGCCAGCATAGCTGGTGTCCAATCAGCTCGCTTCAGCTGGTCAACCTAAGAAAACAAGTTCCCAAATGTCCAAACCTCAACGCTCCAATTAATTCTGAATGATTTAACTTTTCAAAATTTTCGCGTTTTTATGCAATATACAGAATGCAGAGCATTTCTGTTTCTAATTGCCGGGAAGTGAGCCATCAAAAACATGATATCTCAACTATAGAAAGTTTCAAGTTTGTTTCCTTTCGTATCATTTTCAAAAATAGCGCACAATTTTATCTGTAACTGGATAGCTTATCCTCATAAATTTACTATTTATTGTTTTGGTTTTCAAAAAAAAAGTTTCCAGTAATTAGCAATAGTTGTGAATTTATCGTAAACTTTTTAATAATTTAGAAATATACAAAAATATTTTTGATTTAATTGAAGGCAATTTTTAACAAAATTTGCCAAAATTTTCCTAAAATTAAAAAAAAAAAACATTTGCTCGTTGGAACTCTAGTTTTAAGGATTTCAAGGGAACTGAATGTCTAATGTCTACACATGAAATGCATAAAAGACACAGGGTCACTCAAATCATGTTTAAAAAACAGAATGGGAGATACAGTCCCTTTATATAACAATAAAGAAGATACAGTCCCTTTATATAATAATAAATAAGATACAGACCCTTTATATAACTATGAATGAGATACAGGCCCTTTATAAAACAATGAATGAGATACAGTCCCTTTATAAAACAATGAATGAGATACAGTCCCTTTATATAACTATGAATGAGATACAGGCCCTTTATATAACTATGAATGAGATACATCCCCTTTATAAAACAATGAATGAGATACAGGCCCTTTATAAAACAATGAATGAGATACAGTTCCTTTATAAAACAATGAATGAGATACAGGGCCTTTATAAAACAATGAATGAGATACAGTTCCTTTATAAAACAATGAATGAGATACAGGCCCTTTATAAAACAATGAATGAGATACAGTTCCTTTATAAAACAATGAATGAGATACAGTCCATTTATATCACTATGAATGAGATACAGTCCATTTATATCACTATCAATTAGATACAGTCCATCTATTTAACTATGAATAAGATACAGTCCCTTTATATAACAATGAATGAGATACAGGCCCTTTATATAACTATGAATGAGATACAGGCCCTTTATAAAACAATGAATGAGATGCAGTCCCTTTATATAACTATGAATGAGATACAGTCCATTTATGTCACTATGAATGAGATAGAGTCCATTTATATCACTATCAATTAGATACAGTCCATTTAAAAAACTATTTATAAGATACAGTCCCTTTATATAACAATGAATGAGATACAGTCCCTTTATATCACTATGAATTAGATACAGTCCCTTTATAAAACAATGAATTAGATACAGTCCCTTTATATAACAATGAATGAGGTACAGGCCCTTTTTATAACTATCAATTAGATACAGTCCATTTATATAACTATTAATAAGATACAGTCCCTTTATATAACAATGAATGAGATACAGTCCCTTTATATAACAATGAATGAGATACAGTCCATTTATATCACTATGCATTAGATACAGTCCCTTTATAAAACAATGAATTAGATACAGTCCCTTTATATAACAATGAATGAGGTACAGGCCCTTTTTATAACTATGAACGAGATACAGTCCCTTTATATAACAATGAATGAGATACAGTCCCTTTATATAACTATGAATGAGATACAGTCCATTTATATCACTATGAATTAGATACAGTCCCTTTATATAACTATGAATAAGATACAGTCCATTTATATAACAATGAATGAGATACAGTTCCTTTATATAACTATGAATGAGATACAGTCCCTTTATAAAACAATGAATAAGATAAAGTCTCTTTATATAACTATGAATAAGATACAGTCCCTTTATTTCACTATGAATGAGATACAGCTCCTTTATATAACTATGAATGAGATACAGTTCCTTTATATAACTATGAATGAGATACAGGCCCTTTAATTAACTATGAATGAGATACAGTCCCTTTATATAACTATGAATGAGATACAGGCCCTTTTCATAACAATGAATGAGATACAGTCACTTTAAAAAGTGATGAATGAAATACAGGACCTTTTCATAACAATGAATGAGATACAGTCACTTTTAATAGTGATGAATGAGATACAGGCCCTTTTCATAACAATGAATGAGATACAGTCACTTTTAATAGTGATGAATGAGATACAGGCCCTTTTCATAACAATGAATGAGATACAGTCACTTTTAATAGTGATGAATGAGATACAGTCGCTTTTCATAACAAACTATGAATGTGTGAAAAACAAATAAGTTATTAAAAATCTCAAAAAAACACAAATTTCATGTCAATAATATATGACGAGATTAATGTTTATTAAGAGTATAAATAGATTTTAGTTTGAAAGTTTTTACACTTTTTGATTATACGAACGTCAACCAATATTTCTAAATAATTAAATTTGTTGGAAAAGATTTAATCCGTTGGAATATATTTAATCGGGTTCTCTTACTTTATTTATACAACAAATCCCGGCTGTGCCTTAAGAAACGAAACACTCGCCACAGCTCTAATTTTCTAATCTTTTTATGAATCTTTGATACCCGATGATGCAAACTTATAGATATTTCAGTTTTTTGCCTTTTATCTGGCAGACATTATAGTTTGAAACCTATACAGCATGTTTTGCAAAGACATGAGGACTATAAAATTGGAATTTAAGGCATGAATTCAATTTCTTTGAGGAAAAAGCGACCAGAAAATAATGTTTTCTAACTGTTTTTGTATTATTTTGTTGTTTACATAACGCTCCTTAAATTCTCAACTGAATGCTTGAAGGTTATGAATAATAGACATCTAGAACAATATCTGAACTTGTACCTGTACTCCTAGACTAAGGAGTTCTTGGACAAACTCTTCCTCTCCTTGCTGACAAGCTTCATGGAGAGGGGTCTTACCATCTAGGTTCCTAATAACAAGTTAAAAAGTTAAAAAAAAAATAGATACTTGTTGTTAAAAATCTTTCAACTCACCTTATTTCTAAATCCACAAACTTCTTTCCGACAAACTCTTGAACCAAGAAGCGCAAACAGCTGATATGGCCGTTTCGCGCCAAAATATGCAAAATGGCATCTCCTGACTTTTTATGAGCAATTTTTCCGAAGTCTCCCAGATCTTGATTGAGGTTGAATTGGTAGAGAAGATTTGAGAATGTTTTTAAGTTTCCTTCCTGAGCAGCGGATAGCAAGTCTTTTATGATCTTTTCGTTCATGTTGTGTACAGTGTAGTTTGTATCACGTGGACAAATAGTCAACACTCCTTAAAAAGCGAGCATCACAATTTCATTTTGGGAAATTCATGATGTTATACATTTCTTCAGTTTATATTCTAGCCTAATTTGTTGCTTTCATTGGTTTTTTGGAAATCAATATTCTTACATTTAATGCATTTTTCTTTTAAAATATTGATATTTTTTTAATAATAAATGCATAATTTAGTAATTTTGATTAAAAGTCCATGCATTTCTGTTAATAAATCTATTTTTAAAAACAAAATTATTGGTGAGGCTTTATCCATCTCTATAATGATTTCAATATGAGGGATTGAAAGTCCCGTTATACATCAAGTTAGATAATGGTTAAACAATTTCCAAGATAATTTAAAAAAGATGAAAGTTTCGTAATCCCTTTAGTGATTTCAAGATGAAGGTTTGAAAATCCTTTTACAGCTTTCAAGATGAAGCATAGACAATCCCTTTAATGATTTCAAGATAAAGCATAGACAATCCCTTTAATGATTTCAAGACAAAGCATAGACAATCCCTTTAATGATTTCAAGATAAAGCATAGACAATCCCTTTAATGATTTCAAGATAAAGGTTTGAAAATCCTTTTACAGCTTTCAAGATGAAGCACAGACAATCCTTTTAATGATTTCAAGATGAAGGTTTGACATCCCTTTAATGTTTTCAAGATGAAGGTTTAACAATCCCTTTAATTATTTCAAGATGAAGTATAGACAGACAGTTCCGTTTAATACTTTCAAGATGAAGGTACATACCCCTGCGTTGCAACCTATGTCTAGGCCTAGAACTGATTCCTCTGCTAGATCTAGATCCCGGAGCAGGTTTCCAGGAAGACGGGATACTCGCTCCTCCGCAGGGTTGAACTCGTAATAGTTAATAAAGTTTCCGAACCTGGCAGCTCCAGGGTCAACACGTTCACCTGAAGAAAGATATAGATAGATATATACAATTAGCAATACTAATAAGATAAGATGAGATAAAGGAAGGATCTGAAAACCCGCCATCTTTGAGAGCCCAGACCGCATCAGGGCTAACACCAATAAGCTCCGGGAATAAAGCACACAATTATACAAAAGAGAATGCTTTTGAAACAAACTTAGGACTGAAATTATAGGTTTTTATTGTAATACATTTTCTTACAATGAACAAATTTCAAATTATAGACTTAAAAGTGAAGAGATGGAGAAGTAATAGAGTCTGAAAAGTCTGGAATTTTGATAAACTAGACTTACATGACGCTTCGCGCCCCCCTTTCTATATTGATAATTTTAACTTTTTGATGCTGATCTATCTAACTGTATATTCTGAAAGCATTTCTTCATTGTAAATGTTTAAGTAATAATCAACAAAAAATATTCCTCTTAACATTAGTGGATTTCCGACCATTTGTTACCTTTCAAAGTTAGATTATTTGATCTAAGGTCTAAGACATTGAATCGTAAAGATATAGGAATAAGAAAATCAGAGTTTGCGTCAAAAGCTCAATTACTTTAATCAGATTGTTTGTAAAGTAAACATTTTTAATGTTTAAAAACTCAACAAACAAAAAACTAAATTAAAGCGTCTCTTTAAATTAAGTTAATTACGGATTATGAAGAATCAAATTAAATTAAGTAATAAAACAATAAAGATAAGAATTTGTAAATTAAAATAAGAAAACGGGAAACCCATATTAATATCATTTATTACAATTTTGATACGTCAACAAATTTTATGATTTACGTAAATAAGAATTGGGATTTCAGAAGAAAATACTTGAAAAACTAAATATTTTACTTCAAGCATATTTCTGTTTTCTCTTATTTTTCAAACAAAAAAAGGAAAAGCGGTGAATTGAAATTTTGCGAAAATAAAGAAAACCTTTTGATATTCTAAAATTATATGATATATGATATATATATATATATATATATATGAAGATGATTTAACAATGTTGAATTCATAAGAGCAGGAGTGCAAAATTCAAAAGTCTGAAGCTAGATAAAAAATATCTAAATTTTATCTTTATTAAAGTTAAAGACGGGATATTTAAATTCTATAATCAGACCACACATAATTGTCTGGGAACAAGAAGCAAAAGCTCAGAAATGCAGATTTTCTAAAATTCCACATAGATGATTTATATAACTATAGCTTGGGAAACCAGTTTTGCCAGGATTTTTCGCTATACCATTGGAATTTTCGGACCGGGCTAAGAACATTCCCCTGGTTACCGCGTTACCTAATCAAAATTTGAGGCAAATCGGTCAAGGCCCAAGGGGATCCCAAAATAACATTGGACATACTGAGACAAACGGAGATTGCTATTTTAAACGTATGAAATATAGATACTACTTTTTACTTTGTCTAAGGTTGAATAAACCTGAATAGAGGGGCGGGCAATGCGTCTCAAACAAGACTCCAAAAGAGTTGCGAGCATCACAGAAAACTTCATTCGTTAAAACAAAAGATCAGCAAGACGATGAGGTGACAAAAAATATCCCCCCCCCCCCGATCAAGAATTCGCCCTTACGGCTTACATAATTGAAAGTATACCGAATTCAAACAACTAACACTTCAATTTTTAGTAAATTTTTGTAATTCAGAGAATTTAAATAAGCTGTTATAAGCAACATCTCTCTGTACATAATAAAATCATATAAAATATGTATTCAGTTTTAAATGAATAATTAGATTTCCTAGCTTTAGTTTCGAAACGTTATTTTATTCTGACATATCAGAAAATAGATTTAGTTTCTAATTTATTTACGACTTTCATTGATTAATGATTATTTGCCCTGTGAACTGGGAACGGAACTAAAATAATTAAATTTTCATGATAAAATAAAATAAATATTATTTTACAAACATATTTCATTTAATATTAAATATTTAAACATTTGCCATGTGAAAATTTTAAATTTAACAAGTGTTTAATATAGTTTTTCATTTAAGATTTAAACAGTTTTATCTCAGTTTAAGTATTATTCCTGTTGAAAACCATGTAAGGGGGGGGAACAGTGGGCCGGGGTTTTAGGGGAGGGTCAGTCAAAACGAATTTACTCCATAAACCCCTTATTTATGTCAAATAAGGCTTGGTCGCTTAAGAATGTTTAAATTATGTTTAAGTTAAGCACTTAGACCGAAAACCCGCTACTTCATTGAAAACTCTTAAAATAGGATTTTTCAACACACTACTCTGACTACATTAAGACTTTGGCATGCTGCAGGCGCCCCTGAATCTTTTCTATGTGGCTGTTAGAATCTAATTGCACATTTAAATTATCCCAAAACCGCTGTGCTATCTTGTACTTTTGCATTAAATATATTCTTTTCCCCCTAAATAGTTCTCTTTAACAAAGACGACATCTAAATATTTTGCGGGTTTGCAGGATCCATTTAAGGATAAATATATAAACCGTAAACGGGCAAAGTAATTATAAATTTAAATCAGTAAAAATCAATGCAAGCTACAATTAAAAAAATGTTTGCAAATGGAAAGATTATCAGAATATATTAATTTTGTCCATTCTCAAAATTAAACATAAGACCAATGCTTTTTTAGAGAAGTATTGTAACAAAAACCAGTCACTCCATCTGACCCCCTAAAATACCACACCGTGGTGGGGGGGGGGGGGTTGATTTTATGCAGATTTGTAAAGAAATTAAGTTGAACTTTAAAATCTCTATATGCTACTTATAAGAAATACTGAACTAAACCGATTAAAATAGTAAAAAGTAAATGATTTCATTGTTCACCAGAAATAAAAGAAAAGCTCATTCAGGATTTTTTAAAAAGAAATTTTTCAAAATATTTCTTTTGAAAACTTTTCTTTACAACATAATTACATTTTATCAGAAAATGCAGAAAACTTTAAGAATTCAGAATTTTCTGAATTTAATAATGGGAAACCATGCATGCGTGCATGCATGCATGCATGCAAGTAAAAATTCCACAAAAGCCTCCCTGTAGATTTTTATAAGGGAAGATTACCTAAGAAACATGTTGTAAATCCATTTAAAACGTTATAATTCAAAGTCTCCTTCAATTGTTAAGTTAAAAGCTTAACAAAAACACGCTTCATATTCACGTGATACCATATGTTCTGAAAAGAAGATTGATTCAATTTCTCATGATGATGTTTAAAAAATGGGAAGATAATTATGTAAATGTTGGCTTCAGATAATGTCGGGCAGTGCGTAGGATCCGCAACATTTTGGCCTCCTGGATCCGGATCCGCAAAAAGGTTAAAAATATCAAAAAAATTAGCTTCTTTGCTCTCTAAATCCAAGTGGGTTAAAAAAGAGAAATTGTAATTTTTTTTTGTCATTTCTAAATTATTCATCAGGTTTTAGCATAAAAATAAGCCAAAAAGGAAGAAAAATAATTTAAAAATGCTTTATGTTATGAAAAATCAGAAATTCTTTAAGAACTGTTATGACCTGGAAATGGATTAGAATTCAGATGAAAATTAAACGGATGTAAAACAATGAAATGTTGAGTTCAAAAAAAAGTTGATGTTTCATCCCCCTAAAGCTAGCTTATTAATTTTATTAGTTCCTTTAAATAAATACCGCTTCTGTCATGGTCTATAAAGTTTCAGGATTAATTTCCAAAACATCTTAATTTAACTGAAGCTTTTTTTAAATTTTCAGTAAAATAGATAAATATTATACATTCTTGTAAGTTAAACTTAGGCCGCAATAAAAAACCTAATTCTCAAGTCCTTCTCAACGCTTTAAAGTTAGTCCTTGACAAATTTTGCTCAAGATTAAAATAAGACTCTGTCTTTAGGCTAGATAATAATTTTTGACTCAATTAGTCTTGAGACTATATTGGCCAAAAAATAAAGCAAAAAATTTAATTTTGTTTAAAATAGACTAAGATAAACCAATATTGTTGTAATTATCAATTTCAAAACTCCCTAATTTTCTCTTTACAATTTTATCTTATCTTCGCTAGATTCACTAGATAAAAACTTTTAAAAGTTCTTATATATCTTATGCACGAGAAACTTTGCAACTTTGCAAAATACACTTTATCTGGAACTAAAATGTTTATATCAAAAATATATCATGTTTTAAACCGTTTAAAACATAGTATCCAAACTAATGTACACTGTACAATGTAAATACAGTGAGAACCAAAAAAAACAGTAGAATGAGTGTCGTGTTCGTTCTTTCTTTTAATCATGAAATTGCTAAGAGAAAGTTATTCTATTGTTTTTCGGTTCTTGCTGTACACAAAAAATTGATTTTCTAATCCCTATCTAAATAGCTGTTAGATCTTTCAAACAACGAAATCAATTAGTTCAAATAATCTAAGTTTGCAAAATCAAAGGTGTACACTATCAAGTTGCAAAGAACTAGTGTTTAGAAAGTTTGAGTTTGTGGCAAAGACTCAATTCCTTAATCGAATAAAACAGTAGAAATATACATAAAAATATAACAATTTCTATATTTAAATCATAACAAGTTGTCCGTACATAATATAGAACATAATACGTAAAATACATAATATTCAAAATCAATTAACATCTGTACACAGAATGCAAGTCGTAATTGTGATTACATCAGTTATTTACGATATGGTGGAGTTTGGGAATAAAATTTAGCGAACGGTTTTCTCGAGCTGACCCTACGATCAACCTGAGAGATCTGTTCCCAGAATCGAACCTGCTCCGATATTTCACTCTCGTTAACTTTAACATAGTTGAGAACCTCTCCCGGTTCAATGTTTACAAACCCATCTGGAGAACCCACAAGCTCCTCGGAGAAACCAAAGAATGGAGATCGAGATTCTGAGAAGTTTACAAGTACGGAGATAAGAGTTTTCCGTGCAAACTTTTGATCTTTGGTTTTCACAAACTCCGGAAAGCCTGGAACCTTGAATGGAAAGATAAATGCCAAATCGTCTCCGTGACATACTCCGTAGCTTTTCTTAAAATACCCCAGTCCTACCGCCTTCCCGGAGAGTTTAAGAACCACTTCAAGGAAAGGGTTCCGAAGAATATGAATGATAGAGAAGGCTGGTGGGACTGAGAGTCTCATGATTGAGAGCGGCCAATTGTGCTTAGCTAGTAGAGCTGCATCCTGGAGCAAGGGTTGAACAAAATATGACATACTGTGAATGTCTTTTAGTTTCTCGAAACTTTCATTACTTGAGTCGAGTTCAGAATTTCCAAAATAGTATTGTTTGATCCTTCTCACAGTGGTTAAATCCTCAGGGGTATGGATCTCTCGCTCCTTGTTGAGAAAGAGTAAGGGAGCCCAGGAATCCCAATCCTTTCTAAGGATCTCAATCCTCTCGGGTTCCTTATGGAACGGAGAAGTAAGGAGCAATCCTTCATCTTTACAGAAGCAGTAGAGAACCGGAACAGGAGTTCCTAATCCTGATTTTACAGCTTCAGTAAAATCCTGAGGAAGGAAAGGTTGGGAACAAAATGAATCTACAGTTGGGATCCATGGCATCGGTATTGGGTAATCCCAATCCATAAACATAGTACAGTGTTTCATTATTCTATCAACACTGACAGTTTGAAGGTAATCAAGTATCCGGTCTGGGTCTTTATCTTGACATCCTAACCTCTCCGCCAATGCCAAAGCATATTGAACAGGTCTCCGATTAGGTCGAAGAAATACAGTAGACGGAGTCCCAGAGAGTGCAATAACTCGATGGAAGAGTCCGGAAGAGAAGGGAGAGACAGCGTGGAGAAGTGCAGACATAGCTCCTGCGCTTTCTCCCATGAGAGTAACATTATCGGGGTTCCCCCCAAACTTCTGTATGTTCTGCTGTACCCAGAGCAGAGACAGATACTGGTCATGAAGACCAAGGTTTCCCGGCGAACGTTCTGTCTCTAAGGAGAGGAAACCCAGTGTTCCCAACCTGTAGTTCATACAAACCAAAACCAGATCCTGATCCAGTAAGATCTCAGGACCATACAGACGACTATCATTTGATCCAACCGCGAAAGCTCCGCCATGGATGAAGATAAGAACAGGTTTCAGGTTTTCATTTTCTCCAGGTCCAGCTTGGGACAGGGTTGGGGTGTAAACATTGAGATATAAACAATCCTCTGATCCCATCCTGAACCTAGAGGTGGGGAAGAACATGTTGGGTTGGATACAGGGTTCGGATACTCCGGTAGTATCCAGGCATCCGTACCAAGGATCACAGGGGGAGGAACGTCGGAACCGGAGAGGTCCAATCGGGGCCTTGGCATAAGGGATCCCAGTAAAGGAGAATATCTTCCTCCCAAGGTCAGTTTTTGTTCTCCGACCCTTGATCCAACCGGTAGAGGTCTCAACAACAGGAGATCCTCTTGTTATCCTCATCCTCAACCTAGAGTCGAAAATCAAATTTCTTTTTAAAACTTAACCAACAAGGAAAGCCGAATAATTTTGTAATGCCGCGTAAGCAGCCTTTACCCCCACCCCCTTCCCCCTCCCTTTAAAATAGTTTGAACCCCTCTAGGAATCAGATATCAAATATCTTAATCTGATACGGAAAAGAAACCATAAATATAATAGATTAATATTCAACTCCCGCTTTAATCTCTGCTTAAGTAACCAGAGACACATAACACAAATCTAATAAAAATAAAGTTAAAAAGTTTAATATTTTCCATGGCGGGTAATTAGAAAACGAGTGGGAAGGAAATATTATAAAAATGTAAATAATAGGTTTTCATTATGCGAACCATGCATCTCTGGTTTAATGGAAGAAAAAAAACTAACTTGAAAAACCAGTTAGTGTAACAAGATTATATAATACATTTATTTCAATTCATTTTTTTTTGTTCTTTGTAAACTTATTTAAAACAGATAAAAAAAAATAAAGAATAAATAGTTCCCAGAATTGAAAGAATGGAGGAAAATTCGGGAAAAGGTAAGCCGCCCCCGCCCCCTCCGGCATCGAAAAAATGGGCTTCTAAAAAATTATTTGCAAAGAATATTTTTCTTTTTGAAGCAAAACTTTCCCCTCCCCCTTTCAATATTTATTAGCTTATTCAATTTTACAATATAACCACACTAGAAGTACTGTTAAAGTTACCCTCCTTGCAAAGTTGGCAATGTCCGATTTGGAAATTACCCTTTATTTATTTAATATTTGTCGTTTTCTAGATTTAAAAGTGATGAATTCTAATAGTTCTTGTATGTTTTCCTGCAATGAAAAAGCGCAAGTCACTTCAGTAAAGATTACAATTAAAAATATTGAGATCTAATTCAAGAGTACCGATAGGAATCGGGCACCGCCATCTTTGCATGGAGGGTCAATTGAAATTACGCTTACAGTCCCTTTAATTTTATCTTTTCTACATTCTAATTTAATTTTCGAGGGGGAAGGAGGGATGAGTCTTATTTATGAAAAGAAAGGAAAAAGTCGTCTGATTCAAGTGGATGGTGTGGACCATTAAAATAATTGATCAATCAAGAATTGATAAATTCTGTGCAAAGTTCAAATGTACTTTTCTATTTCTAAGCAGTCTATCTATACAAACAATCAAAAAACGTTTCTCTGTGTCGAGGATGTTTTAAACGAAATTATGAAGAATCCAATTCGTTCAACATCCAACAGAATTTGAATTTTTAAATCATTTTCTTTTTAATCAAAAGTTAAAAACATTAACAGAAATAACAACTTTAATCAATTAAAAGCATTATATTTTTAGCATCTTGAGTCAGAAATAATGTTATTACAAAAAACAGAAGATACTTTTCTTACACTGTTAATAATTAGAACTAAAGACTTTAAATTTTTATTTCTAACCCCATCCGAGTCAAATAGATAAGATATCAAAAGATCCTATCCACCCCCCCCCCTCCCCTCCATTGCATTTTGTTGCTAAGAGGATAGGAATGATCTGAATACCCTTAACCATTAACCAGAAACCAGACTAAACAAGACCTAACTGGTAGTCTATAACTGGCAGGGTAAGATGGGATATGGGGGGGAGTATGCTATAAAAAGGGGGGGGGGTAAGGCGCTTGAATTTTGATATCTCCTTTACACTTAAAATACAAAGGAACCCCATAAAACTGTGGAATGTAAAGACGACTGTTAGACGTCAAAATATTTAAAATACTCCAATGAACACACAATTGTGCAGTGTACACAGACCCATTTCCAGATTATAAAAATTTTAATCAACAATTCAATAAAAACAGTAAATTCTAATAAAATCAACAATAAAAAATTTTATAACAAATATTTATCTAGTTATCCATGCTATCCAATAAAAAACAAAGCAAAAGAAAATAGTCTAATAAATTGTGTTTTCACTTTGAGATAAGGAAAAAGTGCAAAATGCTGTTTGAAAAATGTCATTAATAATTCTTATTTGTAAATTATTAAAAAAATTAATTTAAAAATGACAATCAGATCGAAACTGCTGAAATAAGTATAGAATTAGATTAATTTGAATTTTATAAGATTTTAATGAAATAAATATAAAAATTATTTGTTGTTTAAACTAAATTTCTTTCAAAATGTTTAATAGAATTGTATGAAAAAAAATAATAAATGACTTCTTAAAGGAAAATGACATTTGATATTGGGAAAAGTCGGACCAGGGTTTCATGTCTAGATTCTTACTTCTTAAACTTGACCTTCAACATTTAGGAAAAAAACAAAAGAAAAAAATAAGAAATATTTTTGCTTTAATTAAATAATCTATTTTCTATTAAATAATTCATTCTGTAAGGAAAAATAGGAAATGGAAACATTAATGAGATGCGTTGTCACGAAAAAAAACCAGATTGTACTTTTTAAAAAACCGGAAAATTACAAAACTCCAATAAAAAGTCGTTAAAACGACTTGATTTTCTGATAAAAAAAACGTACCAAAGCAATCGTTCCAAAATTTACCAAAAGTTATAGAAAACAAACTGACATAATTTGGCGATAGAGTTATTAAAAAATCTATTTTTCCATTTTTTACTTTTACCATCCAATTATAGTTTTAATGTTTTATGTTTTAAAAGTTTAAAGTTAACCGACGTATATTTTTTTGATAAATTTTTAAAGCCCTTTTATCAAAATCTACCCCCACATTTTATCAGGATTGGCTGAGCATTAACAATTGATTCAACAAAAGGTTTTGTTCTTTAGAAATTTGATTTTCCTAGATTTATGAACAATTGACGAGGTTTAATTATCGTCTCTTCTAAGTATCTGACAACTCTCTCTTCTCATCAGGTTTTAGCAGATTTTTCTCTAGTTCCAAGATTTAGGTTTATGCATCCAGATTCGTTTTATCTTAACTTTGATTGATTTCTTGGCTTTTGTATTTGATATGTCCTGATATTGATGTAGATCTTGACAGCGCTTCTGTTTAAAAAATTATGAACTTTCTAAATTTTAAATCGCCTTAAAACCTCTTATAATTTCTGAAATGTCTCTTGACAGAAAAACTTTGACCACACTCGACATGAAAAGTCTTGGCACTGTGTGAAACTCTCGATAACTTTTCTGTGACTTTGCCTTAAAGCACGAGAATTTTCGGCTTAATTTTAAATCTGTTCTAAAGCCATTGCAATGGTCGGCAATTGTTCTTACATCGTGGTTTAATACTTTTTACTACAAATGTCACTTTTGAGTTGAATTGGTAAGATATGATTGTCTTGAGTCTACTAACTGTTGTCAGCCCGAAGAAAGAGCGCAGACTAAACCGTGTTTTCTTTCAAAATGTAATCTTTCCTCTACGCAGTGCAGATATATTGAGGAGACGGAGAGCGGGAGGGAGACTTTAGCCCGGGTCATAGAACAAGCTGTAACTTGCTATAACTACGACTATAATTTACAGACATAAGCCCGGGACATAGAACAAGCAGTAACTTGCTGTAACTACGACTATAATTTACAGACATAAGCCCGGGACATAGAACAAGCTGTAACTTGCTGTAACTACGACTATAATTTACAGACATAAGCCCGGGACATAGAACAAGCTGTAACTTGCTGTAACTACGACTATAATTCACAGACATACAGGGTGTCCCACGAAACATGACAATAGAAAGACGACTTGAAAGTCGTCTTTGGTATTTGAATTTATTTGTAACATTTAGTCTTCTATCTACTTTAACATGTATGATTCTTGAAACAATTATCACATAATTCTCCTAGCCTTGGCATTTCCAAAAAGTGGTCTGCGTTTTTTGTGCTTTCAATATTACCGGAGATATAAAGACTTTGGTTCAGATTTCAATTTTGTTAAATAAAAGCAAAATTGTCGAAATCTGAACGAAATTCTTCATATCTCGGGCAATATTGAAAGCACAAAAAAGGCAGACCACATTTTGGAAATGGCAGGCCAAGGGAAATTTTGTGATTATTATCTCTATATGTTTATCCAAAAAGGGGACTTACATCAGATATGTTCATAAGATATGTTACATCAAATATGTTCATCCAATAAGGGGACTTGCATTAAATATTTTAATTCAGAAAGAAGACTTGTAGTAAATGTCCTACTCCATAAAAGTCTTCAGACACATATCAATCCGGGTATAACTCAATCAGTAACTCACGGTTTAAGGGATACTTCACTAACAATGTCAATCCGGACACGACTTTATCTGTATCAATGCATGTTCCCTCTCGTTAGGGTTAACGAGGCATGAGAGATTCAGTTCAGTAATACTTTACTATAAATGTCAATCCGGACATGACTTTATCTGTATCAATGCTCATTCCCTCTTGACCTTGTTATGGTTGATGAGGCATGAGGGCTTTTCACTTCAGTATTACTTTACTATCAATGTCAATCCGGACACAACTTTATCTGTATTGATTCCCAATCTAGTTCTATATTTCAAGAGAGTGATTCAGGATAGGGAGGGAACCCCCGAACGCCAAGAGCCTCTGCTATTAAGACATCAAGCCTCCCAGATTCGCTAGGCAGACCGAGACTCCACTATGCAGACAAAGCCTACTCTATGCAGACCGTGCCTCCACTATGCAGTAAACGAGCCTCAACCATACAGCACAGCTTTTTTTAAATCTTGGTATTTATGAGTGATGAAAACTTTTAACAATTTTTGTTTGACGTAGTGGCATAAGAATTTTTCTAAAGATTAGAGTTGTTCATTGATTGTCATGATTAGAAACATATATGGACTCATAAAGTGGTTTATAAGATTTATATTAAAACTTGAGCAGAAAGGAAGATATTTGGAGAAATATTTCTGGAGTAAACTTGGTTTGTTTTGTTGTAATCTTTGATTTAAACAATACCTTTTTTTTTGAAAAATGTAAAGATTTAAATAATAAATGCAAATTTTTTAGATTTAATTTGAACTTCAAAAAAGGTATCGCTAAAATCAAAGATTACAAAAGATTAAATGAAATTCAATTCAAATTTTTTTTTAAATATTTTCCTTTTCGTGTAAAAAATGTTTAAAGTTTTAGATACTACTTTAGTAGTCATAATTAGGCACTATTTATGATAATTAATAAATACTTCTCATCTTTGAAAAGCCTCTCATGCCACTATGTCTAAAAATTTCAAAAAAATCTTTTATTTAACTAAAAACACAAGTTTAAAAAACCTCCTGTATTACACATGCACATTTTGATTTATTGCGCATGCTCATTACTGCATAGCAGAGGCTCGGTCTGCCTAACAAATCTGGGAGGCTCGTGTCTGCATAGCGGAGGCTCATGGTGTCCGGGGGTTGCCTCCTTCTTCAGGGTGCATCTCGTTCACTAACCAAGAAGTAATTACTCTCACAAAACAGAGAATATTCCAACTAAATGTATTTGGGTTTCTATGTAACAAGTTAAAGTTAATCGACGTAATCACAAGTTATATGTTTCATGATATTTATTACGGAATACAGACATACATCAAATATATTCATCCAAAAAATGGGACTTCCCTCTTTTCTTATAGAATATACTCTTTTAATTTACTATTAAAATTAAAATTGCAGCAACCGTACTTCAAATTCCAAACTAGTTTAAAGCAGTATGCAGTACACAGAGATAGTGCGATAGATAGTAACACAAATAAACAATAGTAGGTGTCCAAATAGTATATATTTTGTCGATAAATTGATTGTTTACTATATTAGAAAAAATTATAAAGAAAGATTTTTCAAATGCAGTAATGAATTTTTTATTATCAGAAAATACTTGTAAGTATCTTTCTGATGGCTCATTAATAATGTGGTCTTCTAATATTTTTATTTATTAAAAAAAGGTTGAAAAATTTTAATCTTGAGTTGAGGAATATTTTATTAAACCGATAACCCCCAAAAAAGTTCTTGAAAAAAATTTCCAGTAAAAAAACCCTGAAATTTCGCACTTTAACAGTCCTGTGGAAAAAAATTCTTTTATTAAAAAAACTTTAATTTCTATGACTTTTTCTCTGGCTCCAGTGTGATTTTAAACAAAAAAAGTCCTATAACAGAGAAAAAGCATGATTCACCATGGAAAAAAAAGTCCTAATTGTAAACATCCTTACAATGATCGTAGGTTTTCAGGAGCTTGTTATTAAACACCCCTAACTATATATATGTTTAATATGCAGATATGGAAAAATTAGTCTTTTTTGGAAAATAATTTTCAAAAAAGAAATATAGAATATATTTGTTACATATGTACATATTTATCACAAGTGTAGTGAGTGTAGTAAGCATTTCCTTTTGCATTTTATTTAAGAATATGAAACTAGCCCTGTTTATGATATATATAGTACACTTGTACGAGGAATTTATAAACACAACCTGTTTTAGGACTTTTTCCTGCAGACTTAAATTACTGAGTTCATATTTCCCTTTTCCTTTCCTCGGAGTTTTTTTCTTCCGGACTTTAATTCCTGTGATTTTTCCCCTGAGACTGAATTGACAGCCCCCCATATTATTTTAGGAAAAAAGTCCCAGGAATCTAAAACACAGGACTTTATTTCCAGTGACATTTTAACCAAGGATTTAAGAAAATTGGACTTTTAATCCAGAGTTTTTATTTCCAGGTTTTTTCCTGATATTTTTTTGAATGAATATTTTTTTCTATTAATTCAGGTTTAAGTTAGACAATTTTAGGGCCGAGCGCTGCGGCGAGGACAAGTTCTGGTGCTACATATGATATGCCGGGTCCGTCCTAGTATACGATTTTTGGCCCCCCCCCCCTCCTATTAATTTTGTACATGACCACTTATTTCTTCCTTTTCAGCAAAAATATGGTTTTAAATTATTCTTTTAGGTTCGGTTAAGTTTAGACAATTTTTGAGCCGAGCGCTGTGGTCCGTCCTAGTATACGATTTTTGGACCCCCCTCCCCCCTCTCTTATCAATTTTGTACATGACCACTTTTTCACCAATTTTCAATAAAATTAGTATTTATTAAGGGTTAGGTTAAGTTAAGACACTTTCTGGGCCGAGCGCTACAGCTAGGACAAGCTAGGGGACCGAGCGCTGCGGCCACATGGTCAATTATATCCATGTCTTGCATATAAGATTAGTATATATTTAGGGTTAGGTTAGGTTAAGACCAAAGTGAATAAATACTATTAAATCACTTTGGGTTACGATACTTTCAGGGCCGAGCGCTGCGGCTAGGAGGCCGAGCGCCGAGGCTAGGACAGGCTAGGGGGCCGGGGGCTGCGGCCACATGGTCAATTATATCCATGTCTTCCATATAAGATCCATGTACAAAATTGATAAGAGGGCGAGGGGGGCGTGGGAGGGTCCAAAAATCGTGAATTAGGTTTTTATCGAGCGCTGCGGCTAGGGGGCCGAGCGCCAAGGCTAGGACAGGCTAGGGGGCCTGGCGCTACGGCCACATGACCAAATATATTTTTGTTACATATGAGATCCATGTACACAATTGATAGGAGGGGGGAGGGCCGAAAATCGTTTACTAGGAAATTACCGCTATGCCTATCTGAGTTTAAGATTGGCTAAGTGGGCCAAGAATAGACCTCGAATTGAGTTCCTTAGTTAATTTTCCTACCTTCAACATCATTTTTCATTCTCAATAGATGAGCGAAAATTCGGTTAATGGCTACTACGTGAACTCTACTACACGAACTGCCCTCAACACTCGTCACACGTTACACCACTTTTGCATTTCACAATTTATTTTTAATATTTAGCAGACCATGTTTTGAGAATTGAAATTATCAGCGGCATTCTGAGCATATAAATGTCGTCTTCTATTTAATTGTCAGTTGTGCGCAATTGTCAATAAATGCCGCAATCTAAGCTAAGTGAATGTCATTTGTTCATATTTTTTGCTTTCTTGACAATGCAATTTTAGTTAAATCGATATATTTAATTTATTACTTTCAAATTTCGTTTTTTGACAAAGGAATTTAGTACAGTTATACATCCAAACAGCTAGTAAGACTATAATTTATTTGATAAAATTTTGCTTTTTAGACATGAATTAAAATGTGTGATGTGAGAGAAGCAGTGAGGTTGCCGGGGATGATAAATATGAATATCGAGGCGAGGAAACTCAAAGAGGTGCGTTCATTGCTTATTGATATCAAGCAATTTTTATATTTAAGTTGATCGTTTCTATAATATAACAAATTAAAGGCCTCGGTTTGAACTAATTAACTATAAGAATATAATATAAGAATTTCTTACCGCGCCGTTCAATATTTATATTGCTGGTTGTCACTTTCAGTGATATTCAATTGAAAATAAATCCCGTCCAAGTCGCAGCCGTAGGGTCAAGAACTGAACCGGTCCCGATTGCAGGATCAGTGTTCTCTTGAGAACAGACCCTGTGTAATAGAATATTCTCATTGGTCTTAAATCTTAGGAGTTGGATGGAGAAGGTTCGGAAGAGAAAACATTTCATCTAAATATTCCTCTTCAGATCTCCGTAGACACTCAAAGACTTACCTCCAGGACAGTTTTCTCTCCAGGAGTAGGTTAGTATTTTATCTGAAGAGACTCATATAGACTTTAACTCTAGGACAGTATATCTCTCTAGGAATTGGTTAGTATTGTATCTGTAAACACTCATAGACTTAACTCTAGGACAGTATATCTCTCCAGGAGTAGGTTAGTATTGTATCCGTAGACACGTTTAGACTTAACTCTAGGACAGTTTATCTCTCCAGGAGTAGGTTTGTATTGTATCCGTAGACACTCATAGACTTAACTCTACGACAGTATATTTCTCCAGGAATAGGTTAGTTTTGTATCCGTAGACACTCATAGACTTAACTCTAGGACAGTATATCTCTCCAGGAATAGGTTAGTTTTGTATCCGTAGACACTTATAGACTTAACTCTAGGACAGTATTCTCTCCAGGAGTAGGTTAGTATTGTATCCGTAGACACTCATAGACTTAACTCTAGGACAGTATATCTCTCTAGGAATAGGTTAGTATTGTATCCGTAAACACTCATAGACTTAACTCTAGGACAGTATATCTCTCAAGGAATAGGTTAGTATTGTATCCATCCGTAAACACTCATAGACTTAACTCTAGGACAGTATATCTCTCCAGGAATAGGTTAGTATTGTATCCGTAGACACTTATAGACTTAACTCTAGGACAGTATATCTCTCTAGGAATAGGTTGGTATTGTATCCGTAGACACTCATAGATTTTACTAGAGGACGGTATATCTCTCCAGGAATAGGTTAATATTGTATCCGTAGACACTCATAGACTTTACCAGAGGACGGTATATCTCTCTAGGAGTAGATTAGTAACGTATGTATCTAACTATTACCGACTTCAGAAATTCAGAATTACTTTTGTATAACATATATTTACTCCGAAGGAAGGGAAACATTTTGAAGAACCTTGATTTTCGCGCGTCTAAATTATAGGGGGGAGGGAAAGATATATTGTAAGTGATTTTTGCTTTCTAAGATCTTGTTTTCTTTAATTTTTATCCAATTTTTAGTCTCTCCTTCAAATCTGTTATGTTCAATGATTCAGCAATAATGAACTACTTTTTTTCGTTAACGTTATCCGTGTCTAGGGAAGATGTGGGTAGGGAATGATAGTAGTGAGGTTCGAGGACGAGTACCTGTGGAGGGAAGATCAAGAACACCAAGTACTAGAGTTAGAAGTGCATCAGCAGGAAGAGATCAGAAACAGGAGATGGCAGCTAGGTAGATAAAGCAATTTAAGAAAAGAAAAACAAACCTTTAAATAATAAAAATTATTTGGGTGATGTACAGAGCGTCCTATATCAAACACATTTGATTTTCAAGTTTCAACTACATATAGAATTCTCAAAGAACTTAAAATTTTCCACATCCATATTTTCAATTAGCCATTGACAATTTAGAAAAAAGATTATCCCCGTTACGTCCAAAAATCCCACAATCAAAAATTGATGGGGGGGACACCTTGCAGAATACGAACTCATGTTTGAGTATCTACGGAAAGCAGTTGATATATCTTCAGATCTTTAACTTCTTTACCTTATCTTGATTGTATAATGTATAGATACTGGGCTGTTCTGTTTGAAAACTTGCGCCGAGCAGTTGATGATCTGTATAGAACATGTGAAGGAGATGAGAGCTGTGTAGGGGCAAAGGTAATTTTTTTTTAACAAGAAAGCTTTTCTCTTAAACAATGCTTACAGTTAAATAAACTATAATATTTCAATTTTTGTTTCAAATAATGAATTGCGGGTATTGATTATTAAAATATTAAAAAAAGTTAAATAGGTTATTGACAAACAATGAATGGATTTAAATTATTTCCCCGTGCAGGAGGTGTTGATGGTCCTGGAGAACTACGTGAAGGATTTCAAGAACCTGATCAACTGGTTGAAGTTGAAGACGGAGTATGAGAATACTCCTCTACCCCAGCGTCCCACCTCCCTGGCCTGGGATATCAGGAAAACATCTCCAGCTGGAAAACTTACCCCGACAGGTCAGTCTTTCAATGTTGGAACATTTACATATATCCATATTTTTCTCTTAGAAAATATATGAATTTTATTGAGGTTTCTTTTTATAATTAGTTTGAGGATTTATGCTACAAAAATAAAGAAGGAAAAGATCAGAATTTAAGCTGGAAAACCACCATTATTATTATTATTAGAAAACACTTCTGGGATGTTCTGGTCCCCAAGGAAGTCACACCCATCACTACTTCCCCTCACGATACGTGTGCAACCATATTATTGATCAGATAGAGGTTGGAAGGGTACATTGTGAATCTGTCCTGGCCCGTTATAATAATGTAACCAAATTTTTAACTTATACACCAGGTGGTTCCGGTAAGCTGACCCCAACCCGGCAGCTGCTGCTCTGTAGTCCAGCTAAACGCCAGCTAAACTTCGAGGAGAAGGACGGAACCAGATCTAGAAAAGTGTCAGAAACTATCAAGGAAGCGAAAGTAAGACAATCTAATAGAGTAGGTTTAATAAATAATCCCCTTTTTGATCATTGGACTCTTACACATGAAAAGAATAACGTGCAAAATAAAGCTTTTGTACATTTAGAATTGAGGGAAACCTTTGTTTTCGCAGTTATAAAACTCCGAGGAGACATGAACAATTATGCACTTAGCATTTTCTGCCCGAAATAAATATTAACCCATAAACACATTTTTTATCCTAAGCCTCTCGAGTGTAGCATGCCATTTCCCTCAACATCATTTTGATTTTTAACATAATTAAAGAGGACTGATTATGTTTAAGTTTAAAAGATGATTAATCTAAAGATTAACTCTGTGACGGACACTGAAGACGGATGAATTTTATTTTTAAATTTAATCTGATAGATTATTTACTTTTCAGATAGAATCTGACTGCAGCCCAGTAGAGTCCACTCTGGACTCCCTCAAACTGATCGATGTTGAGGAGATAGAGATTGATGCTAACTGTTCCGAACACGAGAAGTCTGACTCGGAGCAAGAGAAGGACTCTGAACCTGCCGCTGATAATTCTATATTCGTCCCTCTAAAAGTTGACCTTAAACTGGACACTGGAGAAGCTGTTACTACCGATATTACTGCTGAGGATCCCGCAGAAAAGGAAAACATTAATAAACCTGCTGGTATTAAGAAGAAACCTGAGACTGATAAACTATCTGTAGTTAAAGTAGAAAAATCTAGTCAGAGAATCACTGGTTCAACGGTACGACGTGAGAAGTCGGAAGATAAATCCAAAATGACGTCTTCAAAAAGTTTCGCGACATTCAACAAAACCACCTTCGCAAGCACTGTGAAGAGTATGGGGAAAGTGCTCCCGGCTAGGGCTGCAGGTTCGACACCAAGGATGACCCGGGCTCTTACAACAATATCTCCGGCTAATAAACCTGTGATTACTACTAGACGAACCACCGCCGGGCTACTCATTACATCACAGAGACTACAATCTGCCCCCCCAGTGAAACAAGTTCATAAAAAACTAGAAACCCCCAGGTAAATATTACGGATAAATCCAAAAATCAAATAACATTTGTATTACTTTTTTAATTAAAAGATATCAATGATCCAAATGACAATAATAATTGCAGTCAGCCATTAAGCCGTGGGAAATCCCGGCGCCCACATTTTATACTAATTAAAAGATCTTCCTTCTTGTAGGTCACCAAAGCATCAGCGTATATCCCTGGTTGCTCGTCAGAGTCAATTTGCCCAAACTAACCGAGGTGGAGGATCAGGGTGTAGAGGACATCCCAGCAGGGGGAAACCTGCTCCTAGCTCGACTCAGCACACAGATACATCGGTATCCGTCCTACCTCAAGGTTCAAGTACTTCACTTAACTCAGGTTGTTATTAGTTTCTTGATCTTGTTTTACAGAATGAATGATAATGATGAGATTTTAAAGATGGATGGATGAAAAATATATGGAAAAAATGGAATAACTATTTGCATAGTTCATGAAGTCTTTTTATTTTTTTATATTAATTTAGAATCCAGTGCCCGGAGTTGGGCGGATACTGTCAAGGGACGAAGATACACATTGTCTCACGCCTCTATGGAGAACATGAGGCGGGCTCAGGAGGATGAGGAGGAGGAAGAAGGATGGTCTAAGGTAGGTCCGAAGATCATTAAGTTTTGATTAATCTGATAAAGAATGTATAACTCAGGATGAGGATGGTTGGTGTACTGTAAGAAGAGCAAGATCAAGGTTCTCTCCCTCTAGCTCTGCAGCTCAAGGCTCTACCCGGAGTAAACTGTCCTCGATCAACTCCAAAGCAAAGAACAGGTTCCGGATGCCCTCCTCTGCGGTGTCCATGCCCTCCCTGACGATGGAGGAGGACAAGGTTGAGGATGGGCGGCGGGAGGATAGACAGGATAGACCAGGGATAGAGAAGAGTGCTAGTTCAGCTTCTATTGTCAGGAGTAAGGATGTACGTCCTCCTAGATTAGGTGAGATTTTCTAATTGACTGAAAACATTTTTGCCAAAAATTTATGAAACATTTAGAGTATAGGATGTGTTTATTAATCTTGCAGTAGTTAATAGTAGAGATTTGTGTTTTGAGAGCAAACATTTTTTGACATGTTTTGTTGATATCTTTCTAATAGATCCGGATCCAGAAAGTCATAATGTTGCAGATTTTAAGCACTGAGTTTTAATCACTTATCTCAAACTTTAACCGGCGCACAGAGAACTAACAACTTATTTTACGTTGTTCAACTAATTCACACTATTAATCAAATTTGCTTACAATGAATTTTCAAAAATTGTTATTTTTGTAGGAAGCGTGTGTGAGAAGACGGGTTCGTCTCTAGAAAGTATTCCTGGAGAAGAATCTAGAAACATGAAGAAGAAGAAGGATCTTCTCAATCATTCGAAACAAAAAGCTCTGAAGAAAACATCAGATCCGGGACAAACAAAACCCAAGAGTAAAGCTAAGAAAACAAACTCCGCCCCTCTTCTTGTCAAACCTGCAGATATGACGGAGAGTGAGGCGGAGGCAGTTGTTGAGGAGGAGAAAGGAGAACTTATTGCAAATAAGTTGATCAAGGCAGATATAGTGATATTAAGACATTCGCCTGATATTGGACAGGTAAATTATGAAAAAAAAAAAAATTTCCTTGAAAAATCTCCCCCTCAAATTCTTCTGTATAAATCTTTGTTAAAAGGCTTTTTTTCAAATATGACGTTTTAGTATATAGGAAAATGAATTGGTGATTATTATTATAAAGATTTATTTACATACTAAAATATACATACATCATAGATACATATATTAATGATGTTGTTTGAAGTTTAGCAAATATTTCGAATATGTAGTTCACAAATATGCATTAATAGGCAACATTGATTATCATTCATTGCATAACATTTATCATTTTAGCAATTACATCATTATCGAATCCTACAAGATTTAAGCTGGTTTTTCTTGTCTCTTTCAGATTCCATTTCCTTGTGTTACTTATTTAACAGTTCTTGTAAAATTGGAACTTTATTACTATACATTATACATATTTACAAATTGCAATTAAAAAATCTGTATTTTGGAAAGAAATCTAATGTAGAACTTAAGACCAAAATTACAACCAAAATTACATCTACTGCATACTAACTAACGTAGTTTTTACATGTAAACCTTGTGAAATACTAAGTCATCGATTTCTTGAGAATTCTAATAAAAATACATGCTAGGATAATGAGACGGATACAGATAGTGAGGAAATCCTGCAACGAGATGCTGCTATAGCTAAAGCTGAACTTGAAGCTGCTCATCTACAGAGAGAGATACAGGAGACAGAACAAGCAGAGCTCACAGATACAGGTATATCAAGCTTTTTCTACAACAGTTTTCCGAGGCTTTTAAATATTTAATTTTCTTTAACATAAGTACTTTTTGGGAATTTGACAAAAGGTTATTTTTGAACAATAAGATCTAGAGTTGATACTAGTATAAGTCTTCTCCCTAGGGTGGCCAGTTCGGTTAGCCCATGGATACGTTTCGGCGGCTAGGAGCGCCGACCCCTATTTCATTGAATGATTATAATAATAATAATTGCCTCTTAAAGGGACAGATAACTTATTAGGGGAATTTGAGGGTTAACTTAATAGCCTCATAAGCTATTTATTGGTATTAGTCTTAAAGGCAACTGTGGCCTGAGAAAAAGCCGATTTATCATTCAGAATTCCAGCGCAAAGGTATGATACCTTTGGATTTACACTATTTGACGCTTTTTGTCATAGTCATGGATAAAAAAAAATATTAAATTAAATCGTAGTATCTAAATGTCTAGGAACCGGTTTCTTTGAGAGAAAAAATCGTCTTTGTATAAATGTGTGTTTATTTGTTAAATCATATTTAAACACGAAAAACGTTAATTTTTTGCTAATTCTAAAATCAAAAGTTTTTATATTTTATTATATAATGGCTGACAAATGAAAAAAATTGGCATATGATAATTTTAGATTTTATTTGGCTGTTGTTTCTGAAAAAAGTTTAAATAGTGTCTATGCAAAGGTATCATACCGTTGCGCTGGAATTCTAAGCGATAAATCGTCTTTTTCTCCGGTCATAGATCTATTTGAAAAGTAAGACTAATACCAATGAATAGCTAATAGGCTAATTAGTTTACCCTGCAATAAACCAAATAAGTGAACAGTACCTTTAATGGTTGTTTAGTAAATTCGTATTATTTTATTGCCCTATTTATAATTTATGTAGTTTGAAAGTTACTTTTTCACACATACATATAATCTACATCAATTAAATCATTTAATATTACATTCTTAAATCATCTTATTATTCATCTTTAAATCCTAATAATATTGATTTTAAACGGATTGTGAGAGATAAGAAAGATTATCAATATTACAGATGGGGATACGGAGACTACTGATACAGAGTTGAACTATACTACGGATACAGATACTAATGATACCCGGAGTGAGTTCGGAGGAGGAATTGAGAACATGTTCGAAGGTTTGTTTCATTCTGCTTCTTGTGCTGAAAAAAACCATCTTGCAAGATTTCCACCTACAGATAAAGTCTAGATTTGTTTAGTATGACCTTTTATTTAACACTTTATTATCCAAGATTTAGCTTCATACTAATCTCATTTCTTTAAGATCTTGAAAGGTGAAAGACTAGAATTATGATTTGATCTCTAGGTTTATCCTGGGCAGAGCAGATGGAGCTAGAAGATCAACTTGGTGATGCTACGGAATCAAGGTAAAAAATATGTTAAAATAAAATAATGTCAAAATTCTCAGGATGATATTGAAAATTCTAAAATTATGTTTAATTCCTCTTATAAACTTAAAATTCAATAATAATTGAAAAATTCTATAATATTGTAAAAATTCTTAAAAAATGGTAAAATTCTTGAATAATGGTAAAATTCTAGATTAATGTTAAAATTCTAAAATAATGGTAAAATCGTCGATAAAAATGGAAAAAATTCTCAAATAGGTTCCCAAGATTTTTAAATAATGTTGAAATTCTCAAGATCATCGTTAAAATTCTAACAAAATGTTTAAAAATAACAGAACTCTTGTAATGTTACTTCTTTTTTAACGTTCTAAAAATAATTACGCCTTTCTTACCACGCTTACATTCTATTTATTGGTTTCTTTTTTTCTATTCTTGTCATTTTTGTTCCCTATTTTCTGAAAGACAACTATTCCTATTTCTAAACAGACCCCTGGCGTGATTGAAAAGCGTATCATTAGAGGAAGGTTTGGTGGTTGGTTTCGCCAGGGGTTAGGGACTCTGTTAGGAACTCTGCTTGTAATATCTAAATACATAAATATCTAGGTATCCTGGTCGTGCGATCCATCTACATGAGAAGCTGTCTAGTCCTGCAAGGAAGAAGGAACCTCATGAAACCTTACTCCATTACCAGGTAAAGAAACAAGTCTAGGGTTGGATATCATACCACCAAACCTTTTTTGAAAATATTTTTTTCTCAGATTTTATGAAAGTATTTCTTCTTTTCAATATTTTGTATAACAAATGAAGTTTGGGGCATGAAGTATCTAAAAGGATGAGAAAGCTTGCATTTTAAAGTCCACGTTTAAATTTTTCCCTCCAGAGCGCTACAAATCAATTCTTGAAAATATACAACTTTATAAAAAATACATAAAAATTAGTTTGGATTAGTACTTTTAACTCAAAAGTTGCTCTGTTGACAACTTGCGTGCCTACTTCAAATTTTCAATAGTTAAATAGTTAAAACAGCAGTATTTTAAATAGCAATGGAATAGTATTGCTTGATTTTATTACGACAGGAAAGGTTATCGTTATCAATTATAAAATGCTGTAGGTATTTCGATTAGAAGAAAGTCTAAATAAGAGTTGATTTATAAGTTTATTATTAGGATGTTCTTTTGCTAAAAGATTGATTGATGAAAAAATAGAATTACTATTAATTAGCTTTTTTGGCCAAAATCACATCAACTAGAAGAACAACAAACATTGTCTTTCGATCTAATCAGTTTTCATTAATTTTCATTTTCGCTTTGTAATTTTCTGAAATACCAGGAGAAGCAGGACAAGGCCAGAGTCCGCAGGCAGATGTTCTCCGAGGAAAAAGCCAACAAGTTAGCCCTTCTTAGCCAGGTATCAAATAATTGTAACTTTGTGCTCCTTCCCTTTTCCAGTTTTTTTAACTGTTTAATAATTTAATTATTATTTTATTATGGCTTTTTAAAGTTTTCGATATTCTTTTCAAATTTTTCTTGGGGGTTTACTTGCGTTGAAGGCCCTTTAAAGAGAATTTTTATTTTTGTGAAATTAACAAAATTATTGAGTCTACGCCACAAACTCTGATTTTAATATCCCTATATCTTTGCAACCCAATTTCTTAGATCTTAGATATTTCAAACAAAGAATTATGTTTGAAGTTTCTAAGGTTTACACCCCCAGGTTGAAAATTTGAAAATTTGAATTTGTGGTAAGAACTGAATTCCTTTCTTATTTTTTCTCGTTGATGTAGAGGATCTCCGAGGTGCTTGAGCAGAGGGACAGGTTGGTGGATGAGAGGAAAATGATGATAGAAAAGAAGCTGAAGAAGGCGGAGGAGAAGAGGATCCAGCATATCGAGGGGATCAGGAGGAAAGCCCACGAGGAGGAGGAGAAGTTGAAGGAGATTGCGTTCATTAATGAACTCCAGGCTCAGAATACAAGGATTGATATGATTACCCAGGTATGGATAAGAGACTGCAATGATTCTGTTTTTGTCTTCATTAAAAGAATAAAGGTTTAGTCAACTTAATTATCAACTTATTAAAAAATTGCATAAAAATGTGATTTGAGTAAAATTATAGTGGATTCTAAGCACTGCATTGATTTATTTGTTAACAACTATTTTACAGAAAGTTACGGGAATTTTACTTCACCAAGGTTCCCAAGACCATTTTAGCCTACAAAACATTCAGAGTGAAGCCTTTTCTCCGTTTTTTAATGTAGAATCTAAAGTTTTTGAAAAAAGATTTTTTTGGGGGATTTAAGTATTATTTTTTAGGTGAGTGTTGCAGATGAAAAGTGTGAGGAGAGGTTGGCGGAGATAGCAGGCGAACGGGCTAAAAAGGCGGAGCAAAGAGAAGAGCGTGAGGCAAGGGCGGAGGAAAAGAGGCGTGTCCTGGAGGAGGAGCGGCAGAAGCACCTGGACGCAATGATAGAGAAGAGGAGGGAGAGGGAGGAGAGGATCCAGGGGAGCCAGGCAGCGGCCAGGGAGAAGAGAAAGGTGTCCGCCAGGCAGAAGGATATTGAACGGTTAGAGAGACTGAGGTAAACTTGTCAATTTTAGGATTGTTAAGATTTGGGAAAATTATTTACTAATGAGTAAAAATTGTCAGTTTAAATCCAATCCTCTGAAATTATGCATTTAGTTGTAATGCAACCCCTGGATGACCGTCATTATCGCTTTTTTCATTTTCTGACAAGAATGGGATGAGTTTATTTATATTTTTTTGCAGTGAGCATTTCAATAATTTCATCTAATTTTCAACATATTACTGTCAGTACAACCCCAGCTCGGTTTAAAATCCTTACTTCACAAAATGTTCTTTTAGAGCTCTAAATTTGTTTTTAATTGTATAGTACTGTACGGGCGGCAGAGAAGGATATGAAGGAAGAACTTCAAGAGAAGATTCAACAGAAACAGGTAGAATTGATTAAACTTCGATTTTATCAAAAATAACATTTATTCGAGATTACAGGAACTTTCAAAGTTGATTTGCGTTTCCAATCCTCAATGTTTAGGGTTTTTTTAATATTCTAAACATTGCAATTTGTAATAAATTCTATTGAATGTTAACTTATTCTTACTATCAAAGATTTTATAAATGTTTTTAATCTTTTAAGTGTATTTTTCACAGCTTTGCTATGTAATTGGTTATTTTCCATATTATCAGATTTTTTAACAAAATTGTTTTAACTAATTGTCTTTTATTCTTGTTTATTGTTTCAAGTTGGCTCGTCATTTTAACTAAATCTGAAATGCGTTTGTAACAGGAGGATGCTGCTAAACGACATGCCGAGTACCTCGAGGAAATCAGACTCAAAGCCTTTGAACTATCTGTGCAGAAGTGTACCAGCGACGAGGGTGTACCTATTATTAAACCCTACGAGACGAAAAAGAAATGTGAGGCCTGCAATGTTCTGATCAAGAGTGAGGTTCATCTCCAGTCCCATCTCCGGGGTAAACAGCACGCAGAGGAGATTAACAAGAAGACGGAGGGGAAGGATCTGTCTGGAGAAGAGATAACTGATTATAATCTCAAGAATATTATTGATGCTCCTGAGGGAGAAGCAGACCCTGATACAATACAGGCCAAGGAACGCGGGAAACTAGTGAAGAAGAGAGCTAAGAAGCTAAAAACCAAGATGGCGGCCAAGGGAGCCGAGTACCTTGAATCCTTGGCATCTCCCAATAAACATTTGGATTCTCCAAACCGCGCGAAAATCGGGAAAAGTGTGCGGGATATTGAGAAGCTGTTAAATAACCAGGGTAAGGGCGCCTGGCCTAATACTGCAGTTAGCTCACTAGAACGTGCATTCGGAGAGATATTCCGTTCCTTGGAAAGAAACTTAGCGAAAGATAGAGATGTTTTCTATGCTCTGGGTGGGTTTGATGTGCTGGAGAAGATATACAGTATGCTACTCGAATGCAAGGGTGCGTATTATTGGGATAAAAGTTTTTTTTTATAAGAAATATTTTTATTCTTCAGGTGGGAATACTTGTGCTATTCCTATAAAATCCCTGGTTTCTGCTGGCCGCGTATTACAAGGAGCTACAGATGGATCCCCCACTAATGTAGAGTTTCTACTTTTGTCAAATAGAATCAGGAAAATAAACTTTAAATATCTGAGAGGAAAGGGATTGCGATGACTCTTGAATGTGATCTGCGTTTTCTGAAGAAAAATAATAAACATTTCAGATTTAATGATCTACATATTATAATTATTTTATTCTACTTAATGGCGATAGACGTGTGCATTGTGCAATATGCATTAAAAGAAAGTTAAAATAGAAAACCCATATATCCTTAATATTTTCAAAAATTAAAAGCATAATTTTCCAAAGGGTTGGGTAGATTATTTCAAAGAAATTTAAACCCCTGTGTTTTTTCATCCGTCCTTCAAATCCATACTCCAAAAAACGTTGCTCTTATTAAAAAATGCTTTTTCCGTCCTTATCCTTATAAGTTTGGTTTGGATGTAGTGTGTTCGCAGATATTCTCCGTGATCAGCTGACCCGTCTACTCCCTGATACAGGCACACAACTGGATATAGAGATTGCTCAAGGTACAATAACATGTCTGAGCTAGAGTTTATAGAACAACTGGGTTATGATATTAAACGCCAAATAAGTTTGGAAGATACCCTTGCTTTCAATTATTAATCTAAAGTGCGGCTTCTCTGGAAAAGTGACATGCAAATTTAAGGAGCAACAAAGAAGGAAATTGACAGAATTTATCCTTTGCCAAGGAGGAAATAAAACGGCGACTTTTCACTGTTGCTTTGATGCTAATATTAACTTTTGCAGGGTATCGAAGTTAATCGGACATGAAATTTTTTTATTTGAGGGTCATTTGAAATTACTCTGACATTTCCTTAAATTGAGAAGCAGGGTTAATTTGTTTATTTCCCTAGGTCCTGATACAGATCCACTATCTCAGTCAATAATGCAGTTCCTCTCATGTTTCCTTCGTAATCTAGCTATCTCAAAGCTAAACCAACAGTCAGCCACTAGATTACAGGTGTAAATGCTTTTTTTGTATTTCATTTTTTAAGTAGAACTTCCCTGAAAGTCTGAATTGATCATATTCGAAGGGATTGATATAATACAAAATGGTTTGTAACCGATTACACAGGTACTAGTTCAGTTAACTTCTAAATAACAGCATGTTAACACTACAATCCAATGGTGTGTAATTTCTAATTTCAGAAAATTATCAATTAATTAAAGTGATAATGATAATAACTTCACCTTAGATTGAGAGAAAATGTAACGTATTTGTTGATTTTATGATAAAATATTTCTATTGATTTGATTTGATTTGTTCAGGATTTTGTATCGTATATTGTGAGTATTGAGATAGTGGACTACATATCCCGGTATTTCCAGCTAGTCAGAGATCCTATAGATTCTTCACCAGAGGTTGCAGAGTTCATTCTAGTTGCTCTTCAGTTCCTCTCTGCACTTACAGTTGCTGTACAGGGCTCAGGTACATAAATATAGTTTCTGTATACTTTACTGGGCTTATGGGTACATAAATACAGTTGCTGTACACAAGTTACAGGGCTCAAATACATGAATACAGTACTGTTCATTGTTACAGCTGTATCTGGTAAAGATTGAATATTTCCTTAACTTCAAAAACATTTTAGAGAAGATCAACATCAGCATTCAGCAGACATGTCTAAATATTATATTTTAGGAGGAAATCGTAATAATTTTCACAGTTATTAACAAAAATTTAACAACTATTGCCCCAGGGAGCGAGAATGTTAACTGATATTACCAAAAAAAAGATATTATAAAATGTTAAGGTTATAATAGAAGCCATGACGTCTTTAAAATCTTAAATTAACGCTGAATTTCTCTATAATAAGTATTCAAAAGTAAAGGCATTTTGACGGAGGATGTATGGGTGCGGCTAGGAAGCGATACGGGTAAGCGGAGTGCCGCGACACTATGTTTGTGAATAAATTGCGGGATGGAGGCTATACGGGTGCGGCTTGCCTTCCCCCCGAGTCGAGACTATCATCTTTCTATAACTATCCAAAGGAATGTTTCATAAATCACAAATGTGTTAAATTAGGATCCGGAGATCCGTCCCAGCTGTTGAGTACTCTACAATGGACGGAGTTAGCTGGAACAGTTTCCCTCCTTTATGGGATGCTTCTCCACCAGGGCAGGGATACTGCTAGGGATTCAGCTCTTCCTCCTCTTCCCACTCATACACTAGCAGTAGCTACAGGTATTTAGAGGGAGTGGCTGAGGGGTCGAGTGACTTATCGACTTAGACTGATAGGGACTTTACAAAATTAATTAATAAATATATACTAGCAGTAGCTACAGGTATATACACTAGCTGTAGCTACAAGTACATACACTAGCAGTAGCTACAGGTATATACAGTGTATACACTAGCTGTAGCTACAGGTACATACATTAGCAGTAGCTACATGTATATACACTTGCAGTAGCTACAGGTATATACACTAGCAGTAGCGACAGGTATATACACTAGCAGTAGCTACAGGTATATGCACTAGCATTAGCTACAGGTACATACACTAGCAGTAGCTACAGGTATATACACTAGCAGTAGCTACAGGTATAGACACTAGCAGTAGCCACAGGTATATACACTAGCCGTAGCTACAGGTATATACTATATACATTTGCAGTAGCTATAGGTATAGACACTAGCAGTAGCTACATGTAATACAGACTTTAAGGTTTTAATTGTTTGGAACAGGTCTTTGGATCCGGATCATTTGGATCCGCAACATTTTGGCTTCCTGGATCCAGATCCGTAAAGATATGCAGATATCTGGATCCAATGGCAAAATATCAAGCAAAACCTTCTCCAAAAAACCTTTTGTAAATCTATAAGCGTCTTTAGATTATTATTGCTGATTTTAACCTTTTTAACCTTTAAAAAAACAAGATGCTTAGGTAAAGTCATCTTCAAGAGGAACAAAAACCTTCCTAGCCCTATTTACATTTTTTGATAAGGCTTCCAAAAGCGCTAAAATTATTTGCATTTATGTATTCATATTTTTTAATTTAGAAACATGTACATTGCTCGAGAGGTTGGTTCGTCAGAATCTAGGAATAGTCCAGGTTAAATATTGATCTATCATAATAAAAATCCCCATTAATATTAAATGTATCGTTTCGACATTTTTTCAAGAAAATTTCAAGATAAATAAGTTTTATCCAATATTGTTTTTACGCAGGCTGTTCTCGCCTCTGAAGGAATTAGCCTTGAATTCCGTCATATTGCCAGCTATCTACTCTGGTATTGTCAGTGTCATAATCAATCCAGTCTACTAAACCAGGTTAGTGAACCAGTGGTTTTTATTTCCAGTTATCTACTCTGGTATTGCCAGTGTCTTATTAAATCCAGTCTACTAAACCAGGTTAGTGAACCAGTGGTTTTTATTGTCAATTATCTACTCTTGTATTGCCAGTGTCCTAATCAATCCAGTCTACTAAACCAGGTTAGTGAACCAGGGGTTTTTATTGCCAATTATCTGCTCTGGTATTGCCAGTGTCATAATTATTTATCAATCCAGTCTACTAAACCAGGTTAGTGAACCAGGGGTTTTTATTGTCAATTATCTACTTTTGTATTGCCAGTGTCCTAATCAATCCAGTCTACTAAACCAGGTTAGTGAACCAGGGGTTTTTATTGCCAGTTATCTACTCTGGTATTGCCAGTGGCAGAATCAATCAAGTCTCCTAATCCAGGTTTTTGTATTACTTAATCTATTGCAACTTATAATCAATGTACTGCTGACTGCGTTTTTTTGCCATATCTGTAACTTGTACAAAAAGCAATTTCCAGCATTTTTTATATATATGATTTTAGATTTCAAGTAAAAATGTGTTTTAGGTTTATGTTATGTTGTAGCTGAGGAAAATGTTAATATAATTTGTTGTATTCAGGTGATCAATCTAATTGGATACTTTACAGCCAACCATCCGGACAACCAGGCCATTGTTCAAGCAGGCAGCCAACCTTCTGTACTCCAGCAGCTTGCCAACCTTCCATTTCAGGTCAAAAATTAAGTTTTAATATGGAAAATATTCTTGCTATCAATATTATCTATTTTGAAATTAAAGTGGTACTGTTGTAAATCGGGCATCTAAATTGTAAATTGGTGAATATAGGAGGATTTATTGATTAATTGATGGATTTTTGTTGCAGTACTTCAGTCAGCCTGAGTTAAAGAATATCCTGTTCCCTACCCTACTCTCCTGCTGTAACAATAACCCCACCAACACGAATATACTGACCAGAGAACTGTCATGGAAATTAATAGATGATTATATTCTCACTCAGGAAAATATTCAAAAATAATTTTTCCACAAAAGTAGATCTTACAGATATTAACTTTAGTTGGGATTTTTTGAACAAGAAAGAAGTAGTTCAACTATATCTTAGTTTAACTAGTTTGCCAGTGCTGACTTAAACTATTTTTCGCTATTTATCATTTCTGATCCCGTTTAACAAGATTCAAAACTTAAATCTATCATGGAAGCATTTATTTTAATAAGAAAATATATCTATGCTCAAAATAAAGAAACAAAATTAATTTACTCTTATATAATTTGAATTTTTCTACAGGAGGCCAAAGAGTCAAATCTGGTTCAGGTCATTCTTAAAAAGAAGTCCTGAAGAGTTTCTCAGAATTCAAGGAGAGTCCAAACAAAAAAGATTATGAGATGTATCTGAAGTCTGTACACTGTTTGTCACTGTTTTCCATTGTACACTGTACACTGTACACTGTACAGTGAAGTGAAGATTGTACATGATATCTTATAACCCTACATTCTCATTAATCAATTATGCACAATACAATATTATACTTGGCCATTAAAAGCCGGGCATTATGAGGCCTACTAAACCCCTTAACAATATTGTCATATACCGTGGTAATCAGAAAACTTTTATTTAGGATATTTTAAAAGAAATTTGAAGTTTAAAAATCATGACACATTTTTAAAAATAAATAAGTTATAAATTAGAAAATCCATTGCGAGATTCTATAACAAAAAAATGGTAGAGGTCGTCCTATCATACCACTATTTTCTGGTTACCACTGTAAGCTGAAACCTAGTCATTAACTTTATTTGGTCGCTTCATACTTAATTTAGAATTATTGTTATCAATGTTAAGATGAAAATATTAATGCTTCTGCTAAAGTTTGTGATATTTAGGCGCTAAAATTAAGATTGATATTTTTCGTTTACATTTCTGTCTTTTATGCTAATTAAATCAGTATTGCTTAGCCTATCTGGAAAAATGTTTTCAATGCATACAGTTGATATTTTTACCTTTCCCTACTTTTTCAATAATATTTTTACCCTGTTGGTGTTATGTTATTATCGCCCTTATATAATTCTTTATAACCTTTTTACTTAAGTACATTCAGTTCTAACAATGCATTTCAGGTGAAAAATGTTGTTTCGCGCTGGCCCGTTTGCGGTCATCGTATTATTATCCACCTGTGCGCATGCGCTTTATGAAGACCAGGTCTTTAAGTTTGATTGGAGGAAACAGTATATAGGTTAGTCATCAGAACTCCGGCCATCTTTACCCCTTCTTTTAGCCACGTTGACCCACTCCCGTTATCTACACTCGTAAATAAAAATGAATATGGTGTCAAATGTTTTTTAAAAAAGAAGCCTTTATTAAAAATATATTTTTAAGAAATTGTTGGTTGAAAATGTTTCCATTTTTTAGTAGTTGTTTTAGAAAACTTATCATGAAGACATTTTTACATAATTATTAAAAATAACTAACCCTTTACCGAATTCGAAAAAAACTGAAGATAAAAAATAACCAAACCATAGTTCGAATACCCTAGGTAAAGTGGAGTACCTGGAGTATCATGGATCTAACCAGGATCCTGTTCTTATTGTTGGAACTAAACGGAACGTTGTTGCAGCTCTAGGTAAAGAAACCACTTTTTTCAACTCCTTTGTTTTGAATAAAGTATTTTAGAAAAGTTGTAACTTTAGAAAATATTTAATATTCGGGCAAATAGTTGGAAAAGAGACTGGATATTTTAAATTTTGAAACTTTAAACTATGATGCATGATTTTTCGATTAAACGTTTATGCTTACTATAGATTCTGATAACGGACGTATTCTCTGGAGACATAAGTTTGAAGAAGATGAAAGTGTTGGTGCTATACGCGCACTCGCTGTGCTTGGGAAGCACGCAGTTTCTGTGAGCGGATCCACGGATCTGTTTCTCAGGATTTGGGATCCACTTCGAGGACCTCTCCTTTATGTAAGTAATATGTAAATATGTTATCAATTCAGATTTTAAATATAGGACTTTTTTAACCTTTTTTAAAATTGAAATTTTTTTGTTCTTGTAAAAATAAATTTGATGGTTTGATGGTTGACTACTTTATTTTGTTAGTTTAAAATAATACTATTTCAGGAACACATGTTCCGGCTGAAGAGTTCCCCGGACCTAGTTCATCTTTCTAAATCTAAACTCTGGACTGTATTCAGCTCCGGGAAGGAAATTGAGATCGTGAGCTACTACTTTGATACTAAGAAGACCGGAGATCCTATCTTTCAGACAGTTTCTGCTCCGGGAGGTCAAACTATCAGTGAATGTTTAGCTCACGGAGACTGGTTGATCTGTAGAACTCCGTCTAGTGTTCTCTACACTACCCTGAAAGCTGCCGGAGAGTTTAAATCCATCCTGATCCCGGCAAACTTGGGAAGTATTTCTTCCATGAAGTTGAGCGGATCTTATCTTCTGATAGAATCTGGGTCTACGGTTCTTAACTATAAGATAACTGAGGACGGAGTTAAGACCGGAGAAGAAACCAGTGCTCTGTACTCCGACTGCCCAGGCCTCAAGGTTAAACAAGATTGTACTGAGAAAGGAACTGACTCCGAAGGTTTTGAATACTGTTCTGTTTACTCTAGTGACGTTCTGGTTATTTTCCAGGATAGAGATCAGGTTGTAAAGATTTCTGAGAAGAGAGGAAAGCTGGAGAAGGTTTGGACCGAGTGTAACGCAGACCCGGACGCATTTCAACTCATTCTAGGGTTCGAAGACGGGAGCTTGATATCCGTTACACCTAGAGGAAACATCATGTTCGTCCGTGAGGAAGGATTAGCTAGTATTCAAAAGGTTGAACTGGTCGGGATGGGTTTCCAGGATCAGGATTTTCAGATGAAACTGATCCATACAGAGAACATATTTGATCCCACCGGCTTAGCTCAGAACTTTATTAATAGAATCAAGCGTCATGTCTCCCATTTTCACGCATTTATTAGTTCTATCACAAACTTCCGTCTGTCTGAGAAAACAAAGGCGGTTACTCCGGACAGGTTTGGATTGAAGAAGATAATTGTAGCGGTTACTGAGTTTAACAAGATGTATGGTATTGACAGTATGTCCGGAGATATCCTCTGGCAGACAATGTTTCCTGGTGAGTTCAACCCAACTATTCCGGTTTATCAACCTCAAACCTTTCTTCTAGTTCAGAAGGACGGACGAGCAGGAGATTATGCACAAGCAATCCTAGTCTACAAGCGTGCTCGCTCCGTTCATTACATGCTCAGCTTTAACCCTCTTAACGGCGAGGTTCAGAGTAATGAACCAACTGGTCTGGTTCTAGATCAAGCTATCTTACTCCCGGAGCTTCCTGATCATGAACTGAAACCTGTTCTTCTCATCGGGAAGGACGGGAGCGCCGTGATTCATCCTGCCAACGCAATCAACTGTTTGAAGACTGGTCCTGCACTCTTTGTCGCTACTAAACCAGAGCCTGGTAAGCTGGTTGGAAAGAAGGTTGTCGTGACCAACTCTGATCAAATTATTCTCTCCCCCGTCTGGTCTCTGATGTCCCCGAACACAGATATAATAGCCATTGATCAGAGGCACCCTGATGAGCATGTCCATACTGCTGGACGAGTTCTAGCTGATCGCTCCGTCCTGTTCAAGTACATGAACCCGAACCTTGCTCTAGTCCTAGCTCAGGGTCTGGATAGTACTGCTAAGATCTTCATCAATGTTTATCTGATAGATATGGTAACAGGGCGGATATACTACTCCGCCAGTCATAAGAAGGTTCTGCCTCCCTTCCACCTCACTCACAGTGAGAACTGGGGCGTTTACACTTTCTTCAATGACAAGGCCCGGCGCACTGAGTTGGTCAGCCTAGAGCTGTACGAAGGAAAATCCCAGAGCAATGCTAGTGTATTCTCCTCTATAGAAGATCTAGTAAACCCACTGGTAGAAAGACAAGCATATATTCTCCCAACCTCGGATGTGACGGCTCTACGGGAAACTATGACGGAACAGGGAATTACAAGTAAACATCTTCTGATAGGAACCTCTCTAGGTTCTATTGTTGATCTTCCTCTTCTCATGGTTGATCCTAGACGTCCTCCTCTAGACTCACCAGTTCATGTTAGAGAACCTGGTATACCACCATACATTCCTGAACTACCCTTCCCTCATGAATCCATACTCAACTACAACCAGACCATCCTCGGGGTCAAGAACATCGTGACCTCAGCCTCCGGCCTCGAATCCACCACCCTCGTCTTCGTCTACGGGTTGGATATCTACGGAACTAGGGTTACTCCGAGCAAAGGTTTCGATCTGCTCAAAGAAGATTTTGATTATCTGATGATTACATCAGTTATCCTAGGTCTGGCTTTGGCCTGTTTTATTACCAGAAAATTGTCTCAAAAGAAAATGTTAAGTCAAGCCTGGAAATAGACAAACACTAAATATCGAGAATAGTTTTTTTCTGAAAAATACTATTCCCATGGTATTATTTTAGGATTGTTTTTAATTTTTGTAATATTTATTTCTAATTGTAAAAACTCTTGATTAAAGAAATATCTTAAAATTGTTAAGCAGCCCATTTCCTTGTTAAAACTGTAAAGGAGTCTCTGCAATATTATATATTAAAAAGTGACGAGTCAAGAAGTCCTTATAATATTCCTTGTTTAAGCTGGCAAGCAGTCCCTATGATATTCCTTGTTTAAACTGTATTGTGATCTCACGGCAGTCAACTGTCACATTATTTAATTGTTATTAATTTCTCTTGTCTGAACTTATCGCTAGTTTTTTAATTGCGATCAGACAATGTTGGAGCCACAGATAACACAGATAGGATAAGGGTTGTATATGTTATTAAAGTGTTTTGTAGTCAGACATTGATTAGGTTTCAGTAATGGGAACTCAACTTTTCATCTTTCAACAGAACCAGAGCAATTTTCAAGGAAAATCCAGCATGGGTTTCCTGGTGTATCTTCCAGCCTGCTACGCCTTTTGTACTATCTAAGTTTTCTGTGGTTAGAGTGCCCTTGTCAATTGTTAAATTCCCCCATGGTTGTAAATATAACCTTTGTATTCATCTCTAGTTGTAATGAGCGAATATGTTATCCTGATGTTTCAGTTTAAATGTTTATAAATCATCTCTATTCTCCGGGTTTGCCTGCTCTCCTGGGTTCCATCTTCATCCTTATCCTCATCTCTAGTTCACACGCCAGTAAAGCTACAAGAAGGTATCAATAAGTCGTTAGAATATAGAATCTTAAGGTAAATAATAAAATCATTACAAATCGTAAAACCTCATTTCATTCTGATTTAGTATATTCACATCGGGATGGCATTGTGGAAGCAGTATGTCCCTAATAGTCAGATTTCATTTGATTTGTCATTATAATTTCAGTGCTATTAGCAATTTACAGAAATATTCTATGAAGTTGCATTTATTTACGTAAACGAATTTTTTAATTTTACTTATTCAGCTTGTAAATCCTTTTTGAGATTTGACCAATTACAGATAAATTAATAACGAAATTTTTATGTTCACCAAAACTAATAAAATGTCAGACTGAGATAAATTTGGATAAACTTGTATCTATCCTGACCAGGGAAAAGCTCGGATAAACTTTATATGTTCTAGACAAGGGAAAACTAAGATTAACTTGTATGTATTCTAGAAAAAGGAAAAGCTCAGATAAACTTGTATTTGTTCTAAACAAGGGAAAACTAATATTTACTTGTATATATTCTAGACAAGGGAATAAGATTAAATTGTTTGTATTCTAGACAAGAAAAAAAGATTATCTTGTATGTATTCAGGCAAGGGAAAAGCTCAGATAAATTTGTATATGTTCTAGACAAGGGAAGGCTAAACTTTACTTGTATGTATTCTAAACAAGGGAAGGCTAAACTTTACTTGTATGTTTTCTAGACAAGGGAAAACTAAGATTAACTTGTATGTATTCTAGAAAAGGGAATAATATCAACTTGTCTGTATTCTAGACAAGGGAAAGTTAAAATTTACTTGTATATGTTCTAGACAAGGGAATAGGATTAACATGTATGTATTCTAGACAAGGTAAAACTAAGATTAACCTGTATGTATTCTAGACAAGGGAAACTAAGATTAACGTATGTATTCTAGACAAGGGAAAACTAAGATTAACCTGTTTGTGTTCTAGACGAGGGAATAGGATTAACTTGCATGTATTCTAGACAAGGGAACAATATTAACTTGTATGTATTCTAGACAAGGGAACAAGATTAACTTGTTTGCATTCTAGACAAGGGAAAATTAAGATTAACTTATATGTATTCTAGACAAGGGAAAATTAAGATTAACTTGTATGTATTCTAGACAAGGAAAAACTAAGATTAACCTGTATGTATTCTAGACAAGAGAAAACTAAGATTAACTTGTATGTATTCTAGACAAGGGAAAACTAAGATTAACCTGTATGTATTCTAGACAAGGGTAAATTAATATTAACTTGTATGTATTGTAGACAAGGGAAAACTAAGATTAACCTGGGTGTTCTAGACAAGGGAAAACTAAGATTAACTTGTATGTATTCCAGACAAGGGAAAGCCAAGATTATCTTGTATATATTCTAGACAAGAGAAAGCAAAGATTAACTTGTATGAATTCAAGGGGTGTATATTTTTCTGTTTACCCCCCCCCCCCCGGGGGGGACAAAAATATGAGCTTTCATTGGGGGGATCTGCCCCATTGTACCCCCCGCCGCGGCCGCAGCAAATTCCTTCGAAGTTTGCGCGGGCTTGAGAAACCTGTCTTTAATTTGTGGATTTGGGGCAATAATATGATTCTGAAAGTGTGGGGCCAAAGTACGAGTCTCAGAACTAATATACACCCTGATGTATTCTAGACAAGGAAATAAGATTAACCTGAAACAACTACATGCATTCTAGACAAGGGATTAGTATTAACCTGTATGTATTCTAGACAAGGGAAACTAAGATTAACGTGCATGTATTCTAGACAAGGGAATAAGATTAACTTGTATGCATTCTAGACAAGGGAATAGGATTAACCTGTATGTATTCTAGACACGGGAAACTAAGATTAACGTGTATGTATTCTAGACAAGGGAATAAGATTAACTTGTATGTATTCTAGACAAGGGAATAGGATTAACCTGTATGTATTCTAGACACGGGAAACTAAGATTAACGTGTATGTATTCTAGACAAGGGAATAAGATTAACTTGTATGTATTCTAGACAAGGGAATACTAAAATTAACTTGTATGTATTCTAGAGAAGGGATAATTAATATGAATCTGTATGTATTCTAGACAACTTCTATGTATTCTAGACAAGGGAAAAGTCTAGAGAATGTATTTGATTTTCTAACGAAGTTTCTCAGACCTTTAAATGAAACTGCTGCTGCAACATCAAATCCAGGTAAATACTTAATTCGTCCAAAATTATTCTAGAATTTATTATTATTTTTCAAACCTTAAACCTTTCCTTAAAACAGTTGAGGCATCCCAATAATTTATCTTTTTTAATTTATCCAGCTATTCTTGCACGAAATCGTTAACCGTTGGGACATTACCGGTTTCTAATTCTTGAAATATTTGAAATTTAATCCCATATACCCGCCCAAAATGTATTCCAAACAAATGTGTAGAGGCAACCTGAGAGTACATTGAGAGAAAAGATTTAATCATTATTTAAACTTTCTAGATGTTGTTCCAGAAATAATTGAGAAAGTGTTCCTAAACGAAGCATGGATTTTAGTTGAAAACAGGTGAAATTTCATGGCTCCATTAACCATGCAAAAGAATTAAAAGGGTCGACACTGTTTTTCTTCTGATTTTCAACTTACATGATCATTCTGAACCTGGAGATTAATTAAGGTTTAATTTTATTTAAAATATCTCTACTTTTGCTTTTAATATTTAGAGATTTCAAAAAAATATTCATATTTAATTTTAAAATTCTTGAAATAACATTGTTTTTGCTATTTCTAATTGAATTGAATTTTCAAGGTAAGTGTGCCCTTCTAATATTTTAGATAACAATTATTCATGTTAAAGGTTTAGAGAACTTATTATGGGATTACCGAACGATATTGATAATGCGAACCAAAAAATTACTGAGGACCTTGCTAAGGCATTTGTTCAAAGTTTTGCCATTTATACTCAAGATTTTAATATATTATGTTCTGATATTTAATTTTTTTGATTGTTGAATTTTAAGAAAGGCTCCGCCCATCTTCTATTTTAACTTCTAATTGTTGCTAAATCTTTTATCAATTTCTCTTTGATAAAACAATATCATAAAGTTTGCGGAATTACAATTTTTTTTGTGGATTTACAAAACTTCACAAAAATCAACTATTTTTGAAGGCAAATTTTTGCATCCAAAAACCTTCCATAGGCTCATGTAAGGTCTCACACAAAATTTGGGCCAGATCGGTTCAGCCGTTTTAACGTTTATTGGATACAAAAAAAACAGACAAGCAAATTAATATATACTAGGCTTTTAAGGCGCTTGGCGCCCATCTTCTACTTAAATTGTGATTATTTCGAGGATTTTATAAAAAAAAAATTCATGGATTTTCAAAAATTTTGAAAATTGCATTTTGCTAGAGGCAAATTATTGAAAATTAGATCATCCATAAACTTTCCCTGGGGTCATGTGAGGTCCCACAAAAAAATTGTGCCCGATCGGTTTAGCCGTTTTAACTTTTTGGATACAAAGAAACAAACAAACAAACAAAAAAAGAAACAAACACCCACCCAGACAAGCTTGTAAGGCGCTTCGCGCATATATTCTATTTCAATTGTGAACATTTTCTCTTTGCATACATTGTAAAACAAAACCCCCCAAAAAAATTGGCGGATTTTATAAAAAAAATTTCGTGAATTTTCAAAGGGGATGGTGGAGTTGGCACATTTGATGTAGGGGGGGGGGGGGCCCTGCCTTCATTTTTGGTTCAAATCTTCCAATTTTTTGGGTGCACGCCTAATTAGTGATCGAAATTCCTAAAATAAAATCAAATTGAATTTTAATGACCTCTAATGACCTCTAATGACCTCTAATGACCTCCAGAAATAGAAAATATTTCAACTATGGCTTTATGCACATCAAACGAAAGCTAGGGACCCAGGGAATACAGTAGCAGCAAAAAATCCAGTGTTTGACCTTCTAATGACCTCTTACGACCTCTAATGACCTAAATGACCTCCAAAAATGAAAATGTTTTAACTATGGCTTGATGCATATC